GGATGGATGGATGGATGGATGGATGGATGGATGGATGGATGGACGGACGGACGGACGGACGGACGGACGGATGGATGGACGGACGGACGGACGGACGGATCTATCACATCCAATATGTATGGTATGCTGTGACGTACCGCTGCAACGGGCCAGCCTGCTCAACAATGGTTTTTTTAACATTTGTTAAACATCTGTTTTTACAACAAATAAAAAAAAACATCAAAATTGTGCTTTGACAATTGATAACGCTGGTGGGGGGAGTGTGTCCAGGGGAATGCGCTCACAAGAGAAGAACCTAAGTTGTTTAGTGACATAACATCTGCTTTTACAACAAATTAAAAGAAACATCAAAACTGTGCTTTGACAATCGATAAAACTAAAAAAAATTGTCAATGCGAAAGAAAACAGAGGGGGCAGGTGTCGCTCTCGCTTTGAGTTTATACTCATTGTCGCATGCATGCTGTGGGTGAAATGTGTCCAGAGCGTCACCAGCTGAGGAGGTGTCTGAGTTTCTCAGCAGCAGATGGGAGCGGCACGGTTCAAGCATGGCTCCTCAAACGACAAGACAGCCATATTTGTTCATAACTTTATTAGTCAGCCTGAGAGTTGCTGGATTTTAGCAAACAGTTGCCGAACGCACACTGACAAAATGAGAATGGTGAAAAAAATAAATAAATAAAAATACTCCCTGCCGCAAAATGTTCCCATGCATACGGCATGTACAAATGGTAAAACTAATAAGTAAAATAATTGTACCAAAAAATGGGAATCTTGTACAGCTTGATCAGTTTTAATTATTTCATCTTTATTTTGTAGCTGAAAGGCCCGATGGATCACAATTATTTTGATGCTTTCCCACCTGACACCGAGGAACCCCCTGATGAACTGTCTGGCTGGGATAAAGACTTCTGAGAATCCCGAGCACCGACTTTAAACACCACAGAGAAGAGTGATTCTGAAAAGAAACTCATGCTTTGAAAAAGTTGAATTATTCATGACAAGGTTAAAATATTCACACATTTTTAACAAAACTGGTGTAAAAAATAATAAAAATCTGTAAGATGAATGACAGATAAGCCTGTAAACTTACACTTAAATCATCTTCCTTTCTGTTTGCTGTGTTGTATTAAAGAGTTCAGCCCAGAAAAACATTAAACCAACACAATCTGACAGATGAACCTAAAACTATTGATTAGAGTTTGGAAACACCATTTACACATTTTTGTTAGAAAAAAAAGATTGTTTTAAAAGACATGGACATAAGTTGGTACATACCTCAACGTAGGATACATGTAAGTTTGTAAAAAATATGGGTGTGATCGTTGATCCTCTGTTTAAATTTGATAGGCATATTAGCACTGTTATCAAAGCCAGTTTCTTGCAGCTGAGGACCTTGCTAAGATAAAACCTTATCTTCCTCGACCTGATCTTGAGAGGGCTATCCACACATTTATTACATCGTGTTTAGATTATTGTAACTCTGTGCTTAGGGTCGGACCAGAGCTCCCTGCAGCGATTGCAGAGCGTCCAAAACGCTGCAGTCCGTCTGTTGACGAACACAAGGAGGTGTGAATTTATTACCCCGTTTTACACTCCCTTCACTGGCTCCCTGTTGCTTTTCAGGTGAAATTTAAAGATTTATTGATTTTTTTGTAAACGTTTAAACTCTATGGGCCCATCGCAGCCCTACACTCCATCCAGAGCTCTGAGGTCAGCCGACCAGCTCTTATTGGCTGTCCCTAAAGCGAGGTTGAAGACTAGAGGTGACAGAGCCTTCTCTGTGGCAGCACCTAGACTGTGGAACAGTCTCCCTCTGTCTGTGAAGCTCTCTCTGTCAGTAGATCAGTTGAAGTCCAGACTGAAAACACATCTATTCTCCCTGCCTTCAGCTTCACTTGAACCTCAGATTATTACCTGATTGATTCAAATTGTTGGGGAGATCGCAGCAACTGAAATAATGTATGTCTTGGTTTTTATTTGTGCTATTAATTTATTAGTACAGGTCCTTCTAAAAAAAATTAGCATATTGTGATCAAGGTCATTATTTTCCATAATGTAATGATAAAAATGAAACTTTCATATATTTCAGATTCATTGCACACCAACTGAAATATTTCAGGTCTTTAATTCTTTTAATACTGATGATTATGGCATACAGCTCATGAAAACCCAAAATGCCTGTCCCAAAAAAAATAGCATATTTCATCCCACCAATGAAAGACAAGTGTTTTTAAACAAAAAACGCCAACCTTCAAATAATCATGTTCAGTTATGCACTCAATATTTGGTCGGGAATCCTTTTGCATGAATGACTGCTTCAATGCGGCGTGGCATGGAGGCAATCAGCCTGTGGCACTGCTGAGGTGTTATGGAGGCCCAGTATGCTTCGACAGCGGCCTTAAGCTCATCCAGAGTGTTGGGTCTTGCGTCTCTCAACTTTCTCTTCACAATATCCCACAGGTTCTCTATGGGGTTCAGGTCAGGAGAGTTGGCAGGCCAATTGAGCACAGTAATACCATGGTCAGTAAACCATTTACCAGTGGTTTAGGCACTGTGAGCAGGTGCCAGGTCGTGCTGAAAAATGAAATCTTCATCTCCATAAAGCTTTTCAGCATGAAGTGCTCCAAAATCTCCTGATAGCTAGCTGCATTGACCCTGCCCTTGATAAAACACAATGGACCAACACCAGCAGCTGACATGGCACCCCAGACCATCACTGACTGTGGGTGCTTCACACTGGACTTCTGGCATTTTGGCATTTCCTTCTCCCCAGTCTTCCTCCAGACTCTGGCACCTTGATTTCCGAATGACATGCAAAATTTGCTTTCATCCAAAAAGAGTACTTTGGACCACTGAGAAACAGTCCAGTGCTGCTTCTCTGTAGCCCAGGTCAGGCACTTCTGCCGCTGTTTCTGGTTCAAAAGTGGCTTGACCTGGGGAATGCGGCACCTGTAGCCAATTTCCTGCACACGCCTGTGCACGGTGGCTCTGGATGTTTCTACTCCAGACTCAGTCCACTGCTTCCGCAGGTCCCCCAAGGTCTGGAATCGGCCCTTCTCCACAATCCTCCTCAGGGTCCGGTCACCTCTTCTCGTTGTGCAGCGTTTTCTGTCACACTTTTCTCTTCCCCCAGACTTCCCACTGAGGTGCCTTGATACAGCACTCTGGGAACAGCCTATTCGTTCAGCAATTTCTTTCTGTGTCTTACTCTCTTGCTTGAGGGTGTCAATGATGGCCTTCTGGACAGCAGTCAGGTCGGCAGTCTTACCCATGATTGCGGTTTTGAGTAATGAACAAGGCTGGGAGTTTTTAAAA